TTTTTTTTTTTTTTTTTTAGAGTGGGACAGGGGCTAAAGTGACATTCCCGCTCTTTGCCCACAGCATGTGGACTGTCCTGGGGTTTTATTAAAGCTAAGAGCAGTGCCCAGGAAGAGCCAGTCCTTTCAAACACATGCCTTGTGGGTGATCAGTACTGCTGGGAGGAAGTGTCAAAAAGATAATGGCTCAGGCCCCTCTATCTTCCAGTAGGGCTTTGTAAATGCCCTCGGTGTGCAGCGCTCCATAGTGACTTGCCGCATGTCTGCATGGCCACATTGCAAGAATCCTTACATCACTGATTCTGCCCTGAGGCCCTCTGGCAGCCCCTCTCTCATGTGTATTGTCTCAGAGCCGTGACAACAAGGTTCAAACTCAAATGTCCACTCTCCTACTTTTCCACACAGGGCTTGACTAGAGAAGGTGAGAAGACCAGCTACATCCTGACAGACAGCCTCATGGAGACAGACCCTCACAAGTGAGTATTCAGGGAAGCCCATGCCCAACTTACACTTCTACGGCCCCCCGCCCTCTGCTTGTGAGCAGCCTGAGGAGGAAAGTGTCCATGACTCCCTACAGCTTCATTTGCCAAATCACAAGGAGAGCCATGTTGCCACATTGTCACCCATGGTCTGGAGATGGCAGCTGGCTGGATAACAGGGGCAAGACTTATCCATCCTTGTGCATCAGGGCATAAGTTATTCACTTGCTGGGGTCTTGGGGAGGTTCTCCCTCCAGTCCACAACCCAGTACACAGTGCTGTACAGTAAGACAGGTATGGGATGCCTTACTCAGAAGCACCCAAATTGGCCACCAGGAGAGGCAGCTGTTGGCCCTGCTCTGACAGGCCATTGGTCTAGTATCTACTGAGGAGCCTTGTTTCCTAGTCATTCGCTGCCTGTGGAATGCGTCTGGTGCTGTCTGGCTCAGTGAGGGCAGAGGGACGGGACCTGTGGCCCCTTTGCTTCCTTTCTGTTCTCGTTTCTGCAGTCTGAGCCTCTACGTGGAGGTTGCCTGCAACGGCCTCTTTGGGGCTGGGAAGGGCACCATGATTGCACCTCCGGACCCTGAGAGGAAATTCACTTTGAATAAAGCGGAGCTGATCGTCTTCAATAGGGATGTCCATGAGCTGCTGGTAGACTTTGAGATACTGTTGGACATGGCCAAGGTACTTGCTCTTTTCCTCTGTCTCTGCTTTTCCACCTTCTTTACCTCCTTTCCTCCTCTGTCTTAAGACTTCCCCTTTGTTTCCCTTCCTCTCCCAGTGTTCCAGCCCTTTCCTCTTCCTCTGGAAGAGTAAGTATTGGCTATCGTTTCATAGCTTCATAGTTGGTAGGGTCAGAAGGGACCTGAGCAGATCATCAAGTCCGACCCCCTGCCATGGGCAGGAAAGAATGCTGGGGTCAAACGACCCTGGCAAGGTGATTATTTAGCCTCCTTTTGAAGACCCCCAGGGTAGGACCAAGCACCACTTCCCTTGGAAATTGGTTCCAGATCCTAGCCTCCCTGACTGTGAAGTAGTGCCTCCTGATGTCTAGCCTGAATCTACTCTCAGTCAACTTATGGCCATTATTCCTACTTACTCCCGGTAGTGCTCAGGGAAACAGGATCTCTCCCATTGTCTGCTGGTCCCCCTTGGTAAGTTTATAGATGGCCACCAGTCCCCTCTCAGCCTTCTCTTGTGAAGGCTGAACAGG